CATCTCTGGATTTGGGCATTAGTGTGGATCCTGGAACTAGGTCCTATGGATACTAAGGGGTGGCTGTAGATTGAAATCATTCTCTGTCTGCGAAGTTGGACTTAGATTTCAACTTGGTAAAAGTCTGGTCCACTCCAGCCTCCAGCTGGCTGCTTACTCAGTACTTTGTTTTCGTATAGCACATTCATTTTGTACTTTGCAATCATACTTATTTTTCTCTATCCCTCCTCTTACTTTCCCATGGATTTTAAGGTTTTTGACACACATTATCTTTTCATTTTATTACTCCAGTCTGAACATAATACTGTATATATGGTAGCTTCAAGAAATACATAAATAATATAATTAATTCCATTCAGTGGAAATTGGGGCACATCAGATAGGACTTACAGTGTCATACCATGTGTCATTTAAAAGGAAGATCAATTTGCTCAAGCTGCACAACAGTATGAATCTTCACATAATGGGGAAGTGTGTTTCCCTTTACCTCTTGCATTATTAGGGGATGCTTTTCTCTATTGGATCTTCTGGCAGACTCCTAATAGTGGAGTTTCCATGAATCTTATGATAGGGTGCTCCCCAAAAAACATGCAGTGACTTTTACGTTTTTTGAAATAGCTTAACTCATTTCCCAGAAAACTTTCTGTTTGCTTAAAATGATTACCTCTCATAAATTAAAATAGTTTGTTCTAGTGGGCCATGCTAAAATGTGAGGTGTAGGCATCTGGTTTCAAAAATTTATAATACCTGTAAATCATCCCCTCCCTTTGTCCTTTTGTCTGTATGCAAACAATTGCCAGATTCACAAAACAAAAACACAAGCTGTTTCTTTAAATCCAAATTTCATGTAAAATGAGTTACTTTTAAATTTATGCTCCAAGAATTTATTGGACATTCTTACACTATTTTTTTCCCCCGAAATTGAAGTATAAATGAGGGAGGAAAAGAGGAGGGAAGGAGGACAAGCAAGTGCCAGAGCAAAAGTGAGAGTGAGATGATCTCTGCCTAAATGCCCATGCTGGGAGCCAGGAACTCCATCCAGGCCTCCCACAAAGATGGCAGGAACCCAGCTCCTTGAGCCATCAGCACTGCCTCACAGGTACCTCTGTATCAGAAGGAAGCTGGAGTTAGGAGCCAGAGCCAGTTATTTCAGGGTGGTGTAGACCTCTGAACTGCTGCATTTTACCTGGCAGCCCTTTGTCTATGTCACTTCCACTTCTCATCGTTTATCATCACAATCATCTAAAATGTACACAAATGGTTCCTGCATTTGGAGATGAATATTTTATAAGTGATTTTACTTGGAATGTTCCCAAAATAAATGCCTTACCTTGCAAATTCTTAAGTGTGGAGAGGAAAGCAATACAGAAACAGGATGCTTAATTGTAAGGTGAGTGGTGAGAAGGCATGTCTAGGGCGGATCAGTGTGTTTAGTTTCTCCAGCTGTATCATAATGCTTATTTTTCCAGTTGAGCTCCTGTGTTGTGGCATGCACATCTGGATGACACACATTCTGGAAAACAGGAAAAGTGCCTGGGAGAAACCTGCCGCTGTGTGTGTGAAGTTTAAACACCACTTTCGTGATGAGGGATCGCAAAGGGGCCCTGTACACTGTGCTGAAATACAACCTAATTGATGGACAGCATAATCACCACCTTCGGTAGTGCCCTGGGACTCTTCATTCTGGCAAGCTATAAATTTAAATAGAAACCAAAAGGAAAGCACACAGCCCACAGCTCTGTGTTCCATTACTTCATGCATAAAATATTCAGCAAGAGAGAGGTTTAACAGATAACAGCCAGAGAGTGGCTAAATGCACAGTGGTTAAGGTAAGGCTGGAGATCTCAGGCTATCCATACAGAGATAAGAAATCCTGTTTGAGGGATTAAGCTTCATTCTTTGCTCACGATGAGGCAACCCACAACTGAGTGCTCACAAGCACAGTGGTCTTTTATCTTCAGCCCTTGCCATACATAGTGAGCTCTTAGAGATTATGTCATTTGTGGTAAAAATCTGTTCACGGGTCCAATCTATCAGGCTATATTCACCTTTTAAATGATTATGTAGCATAATCAAAAGTACATGAAGATAAGTTTATTTATTTTTAATGAAAGATTTTATTTATTTGAAAGTGTTGAAGAGAGTTTATTTATTTGAAAGTGTTAAAACTTTCGTGGGTTGTTTTAACCTCTTCAATATCTGCAACAATAAGGGAGTAGGGCCAGTCTGAAGCCAGAAACCAAGAACCACATTGGATCTCCCATGCGTATTCAAAGGCCTAAGCACTAAGACCATTTTCTGCTAATTTTCCAGGGAGCCATATTAGAAGTAGAGCAGCTGAGGTATGAACCAGTAACCATAGGGGTGTTGGCATTGCAGCCAGAATGATTGGGTCAAAAAACTGAAGTAAAAAGGAGGGAAGGAAGGAAGGAAAGAAGGAAAGAAGGAAGGGAGGGAAAGAGGGTGGAAAATTTTAATACATTCTAATGGTATGAACTGCACGGAGTCAATTTGTGTTAACATTATGCTGATATGAGAGTTGATGAGAACTATATTGTAGCAATCATCTTGCATTTACTGTGACTCTGAGAATCTAATATATTAATAAATCCCTTAAAAATAAAAGCAATCCCTTCTGACTCTGCCCCTTGAGCAAGAACAGAAAATTTCTTACCCTCAATTGAATAATCTATAAAACTTGGACAGTACCATCCATCTCTTGAGGCTGAGATACAGACTAACTAGGCTTGTTAGATGGAGACTGCCTGGCATTTATTAATTGTTTCATGAAAGTAATTAATTCTGCCTTCTCTGTGTGTTATCTTAAGTTAACCCTCTGCCTGAGCCAGAGACCAGGAACTGTGTGTCTTCCCAAAGTCAAACATTTCCTAGTTGTATTTCTGAGTCTTTGAGATGCCTTGGTTTTCAGGGTGCACTAATGATGCTAGAGCATGTTTTCTTTAGGGTGGCAATTGAGGACCTTCCTCTCCCATGCGAACCACTCAGCTGGTGCTGGCTGCCTGCTGTACTGTGTTGAGAAAGGCCATGTAGCTTCTTGGGGATTGGCACAAGGGCACCAAAAGAGAGGATGTAGTGGTTTCTGTACTGGGTAACTTTCTCCTTGGTCAGGTTATGAAGTCAGGAACATCATGTTCCCATATGAATCCTCTCCTCCATTTCATTTTTGTGCTCTTCCCCAAGTTCATGAATATTCAGACTGGCAATGGAAGAGAGAAAATGAAGGAAGCCTAGTTTGTTTCCATTAAGAATTGGGGACTTTCAAGGCATTTCCTTCTGAGGAGTACCTTAAAAGGAAGAGGCAGGTGCTTTGAGCCTCTTCAAGACGATGCTGACGATTCTCAGGTTATATGTCAATGCTACAAAGTTGCCTTGCATTGAAAGATTAAAGGAAGAAAGGTTCTCTTCGGGGCACCTTGCAATCTCTTTGAAGTTCAAAATAAAATAAATAAAAGTTCAAAATAAAAGCTCAAAGAATCTCACATGATGCTATTTAAAAAAACATTGGCCTAGCATTGAAAATAGTTCTTGCGGGGGCTATTTCCTATATTGAAGTACATAGATTCAAACCTGAGTCCACCCCAATTCCAGCTTCCTTCTGATGTGCCCTGTAGGGGATAGTAGTAGTAGTTCATATAGTTGAGGAGCTCTCACCTGCATGGGAGAGCTAGATTGAGTTTCAGGCTACTGACTTCAATTTAACCCAACCCTGCCCTGGCTGAGGTGATTTTCTGGGGAGTGAGCCAGCAGTTGAGAGATTTCTTTCTTTTTCTCTATCTTCTTCTGACTTTTAAATAAAGAAAAAAAAAATTCCACTGCTTTTTAAGAGCTATAATGGTGAAATGATTTCTTAGTTTCCAACAAAGACCAAACAACACTAAACGTCTCCTGTGCTGTGGCCTATTGACTAAATCCCCCCTTGTTACACAGACAGGTCTGTAATTTAGACATACATTAAGATGCATGTTTTCCTGAAAGGACCTATGAATGGCTGCATGGAAGAGAGTAAAAGAGACATAAGCAGTAGAAGAGAGAAGTCAAATCACAGTGGATACAAAATGGAGACTTTGCAGGAGGGGCCAGCCAATCTCTGAGGCCGGAGGTTTAAGACAGATGAGCGATGGGAAAGTTTCATTCTTCACACACCTGTATATGACACTAAGAAGGCTACTTAACATGCTTTGAAAAAAATTAAAATTTCTCCTGATTATTACTGTTGAAATTTGACAAAAAAAAAATTGAAAGTATCAGCAAGGAATTAGGGACAGGCATTTTTAACAGGCTCCTGATTCTATTTTCTTGCCAGTGCAGACCCTGGGAAGCAGCAGGTAATGGGGAATCCCAGTAGTAGGATTCCTACCACCCCTGGGGGAGACCTGCACTGATTCCTGCCCTACCAGCTTTATCCTGGCTGAGCCACTGCACTTTATGGGAATTTGGAAAGTAGCCTAGTGAATCAGAAATCTGCCTTTGTCCCTCTGCCTCTCAAGTTATTTTTATAAGATAAAAATCTCATCATCACATTAAAACTTCACATAATTTACTTGCCATTTTTGTTCATTTCCTTCTGCTCTTACTATTATTATTGCACTTAGATTTAGAGATTTACACTTCAATGATTAACCTAAGTAGTCCTTGGACTTTAATTTATCCAAGGCTACAAAATAACATGTAACTCACTCTTTTTTTCTTTCTTTCTTCCTTCCTTCCTCTTTCTTTCTTTCTTTCTTTCTTTCTTTCTTTCTTTCTTTCTTTCTTTCTTTCTTTCTTTCTTTCTTTCTTATTTCTCTTTCTTTCTTTCTTTCTTATTTCTCTTTCTTTCTTTCTTTCTCTTTCTTTCTTTCTTTCTTTCTTTCTTTCTTTCTTTCTTTCTTTCTTTCTTTCTTTCTTTCTCTCTTTCTTTCCTTCCTTCCTTCCTTCCTTCCTTCCTTCCTCCTTCTTTCCTCCCTCCCTCCCTCCCTTCCTTCCTTCCTTCCTTTTTTTTTTTAATGGAATGCTTCATGACTTTGCATGTCATCCTTGTGCAGGGATCATTCTAATCTTCCCTGTATCACTCCAATTTTAGCATATTACTGTGGAAACAAGCAATAATTGCTCCCTTTAACTTCCAGTTTTAATGTCCAGCTGTACTAATGTGACTTGTCAATAATACAGTTGCCAGAAATTGTTCCTCTGCAGCTTCCAGAGTTTTCCAGAAGTTTGTTCTCATAATTTCTCAGAAATAGGCCCCTCACATTCTTTGCCTTCATTGCATGCAACCAGGGTGTACCTGCTGCTGTGGCTGCTGTTAACTCTTCTGACATGATTAATTAAAATTGGTGACTTCTCCTGTAGTCATTCCTGATGACCACAGTTGGTAATACCCATTCAGCATCTCTTGCAAAATATTGCTCATGGAGCATTAGGTCTCCTTAAGAACAAGCCATCATTTGTTGTTATGTAAGTCTGGCCTCAGAGAAGAAACATCTAATCTCTGAGGGTATTTTTTTCAGAGATCCTTTTTTTTTTCTTTAATTGGAGAGGCAGATTTACAGAGAGAAAGAGAGACAGAGAAAACTTCCATCCACTGGTTCACTCCCCAAGTGGCCATAACAGTTAGAGCTGAACTTATCCGAAGCCAGGAACCAGGAACTTCTTCTGGGCTTCCTACATCAGTTTAGGGTCCCAAGGGATTTAGGCCATCCTTTATGGCTTTCCAGGACACAAGCAGGGAGCTGGATGGGAAGTAGAGCATCTGGGACATAAACTGGTGCCCATGTTGAATCCTGACCCATGCAAGGCAAAGATTTAGCCACTGAGACATTGTGTCAGACCCACTGGAGAGTATTTTTAAGTGAGCGATTTCACATTTCTTCAATAGAATATCTCCACCAAACCTGTGTGTAGACTGCAACAATGTATTTGCATATTCATTCTTGCTTTATGCTGCATAAAATTCAGAGTCTATAAACATCAAATGAGAGATGGCATACAAGTTTTAGAAGAAAAGTTTGCTATTTTTTTTTAAGATTTATCTTATTTTTATTGGAAAGTAAGATATACAGAAAGGAGGAGAGACAGAGAGAAAGATCTTCTGCCCACTGATTCACTCCGCAGTGGCCACAATGGCCAGAGCTGAGCTGATCCAAAGCCAGGAGCCAAGAGCTTCTTCCGGGTCTCCCATGAGGGTGCAGGGTTCCAAGGCTTTGGGCAATCCTCAACTGCTTTCCCAGGCCACAAGCAGGGAGCTGGATTGGTAGCAGGACCACTGGGATTAGAACCAGTATGCTTATGGGATGCTTGCACATGCAAGGCGAGGACTTTTAGCCACTTGGCTACCATACCAGGCCCTTAAAAGAAACATTTGAAAAATAATTCAGCAATACAGATATCCATGTGTGATATTATGCACATACCTTTGCTTAAATAAAAAAATCACACTTCTAGAATTTACTTTATTTAGCTTAATGCTCAATTATGAATGTTTCCCACTGTTAAAATATTTCAAAACATGATTTTAATGAATATTATATGATCTTTAAATTTATAGCTTTTAATATAATTAATCATTATTCCCTTATAAAACATTTAGATTTTAGATTATTTATAGCTTAATATAATTGATAGTAAAATAAAAACCTTTGCAGATAACCCTTTAGCCACATTTTGATTACTTTCAGTAATTCAGTTTGTTTAGCAAACCACCCAGAAAAATAGTTTTTCAAACAATGTGAATTTCAAAAATTTATGCTCAATATATTCTCCTTATAATTTACTTCATTGCATTTAAATTGTAAAAAGTATTATTATTGGGCCTGACACCATGGTTCAATGGGTAAATCTTTACCTTCCAACTGCCAGGATTCCACATGGGCACCATTTTTTGTCCTGGCTATTCCATTTACCCATCCAGCTCCCTGCTTGTGCCCTGGGAAAACAATCAAGATGGCCCAATACCTTGGGATTTTGCACCTGTGTGGGAGACCCAGAAGACCTGACTCCTGGCTTCAGATTGGCTCAGCTCTGACCACTGCAGCCAGTTGGGGAGTGAACCAATAGATGGAAGATCTTTGTTTCTCATTTTCTCCATAAGTCTGATTTACATTTCTAATAAAAATAAATATACAAACTTATTACTATCAATAGAGAAATATCTATGTAGTTTTCAGTTTTTTTATGAAACTATTTTCAAACGTTTATTTATATAGGACTTATGTGTGATATGACAGACATTGTCTCTCACTAAATAGCTGCTTTTGTTGAACTGCAGACACACACACACACACACAAACACACACACACATACACACATTTCTTTGTGAAAATATTACTTGAAAAATTTCAAACCCGTACAAAATCAGGTAAAATATTATCCAGATTAAGAAGTTATCAGCGCTTAACCAGTCTTATTTTTAATGTTTTTTCTTATTTTCTTACTACTTCCAGATTACTTAACAAATCCTTACATAATTCAGTGCTAGATTTGAAGGAGAAGGAATATTTAAAAAGTATAATAATGTCATTGTTTTCACATGCTACATAATAACAATTGTTTAGTAGAAAATTTCTATAGTTCTGTCATAATATCTTCACATTTTGAATGACCATCCAAATAACCTGTAAATTTCAACTAAATCAAATATCACCATTTCTCTTTAAGCTGACAGGTGTCTCTCACTTTTATTTTCCATGTAGGCCACTTGTTGAGAAAAAAAAAAACTGTTTTCTAATCTCATGAAATATTTTACATTTTAGAATCTTTTCATTGACTCCTGTGGTGTTATTTAAAGTGTTTCTGTGTGCTTGTATTTCCTGTGATTTGCTTTTTGAGATCTAAAAATTTGATCAAATTCATCTTCAATCTGATGAAAAAATTTGCTAGTTGAGGGATATTATTACACATTTCTGTTAGGATGTTCATATTCTCTGGCTGAAGTATTCTAATTTAATCCCTTTAGTCTCATTTATTAATGGGATAATTCTATAATAAGCAACTTTGCCTTCCTTACTGGCTACTCCTAAGGCAATTTGTAAAGGAATTGTTGATATTTTTGCTTTGTTGAATTTTTTTTTTCAATGATGAGTTGATAGGTTAGTTTATTAGCAGTCTTTAGTGGTAAGTTCACATTTTTTTAGTATCATGAATTTGTACCTTTCAACATATTTGAAGTGTCTGCATTTGCTGTGATTATCATATTGATGTTCCAGGTCATCTCATCTTTCGTCAGTAGTATTAGCCTCTTCAAGTTGGCCATTGACTCTTTCTGGCATAGAGTTAGATGTCTTTGAAAGCTCTTTTGCATTTTACTGTGACAAGAAATTAGAGACCCTGTTTATATCTTCTGCCTCACACTAGGATCATTCATTTATTCAGTGCAAATTGATATTTAGAAGCCCAGTTTAAGTTTTAGGTGACTCATTACTAGTGGGTTAGTTGATTTTATCTTGGCCTTTTTCTCACTTAAAATTAGTGCGTTTGTGTGTATGGTCTTCAAGATAACATCAATCTTAAACTGATTTATTTGCTTAAGCAAAAGTAACAGTTACAGAAAGGGACACCCACACACACCCACCCCCACACACATGCACATCTTCTATTTCATGGTTCACACCCCATGGCAGCAACAACCAATACTCAGTAAGGCTGAACTGAGATCAGAAGGCAGGAGGGGCCCGGCAGCGTGGCCTAGTGGCTAAACTCCTCGCCTTGAGCGCTAGGGTTCTAATCCCGGCAGCTCCACTTCCCATCCAGCTCCCTGCTTGTGGCCTGGGAAAGCAGTCAAGGACGGCCCAAGGCTTTGGGACCCTGCACCCCGTGTGGGATACCCGGGAGAAGTTCCTGGATCCTGGCTTTGGATTGGCATAGCATTGGCTGTTGTGCTCACTTGGGGAGTGAATCATCGGATGGAAGATCTTCCTCTCTGTCTCTCCTCCTCTCTGTATATCTGACTTTCCAATAAATAAATAGATCTTAAAAAAAAAAAAAGAAGGCATCTGGCTGGTAAGAGCTCAGTTGCTTGGGACTCTTCCACTGGTTTTCCAGGCCAATAGCAGGGAGCAAAATCAGAAGTGGAGCCACTGGGACACAAACTGGTGTGAATAAAGGATGCTGATGTCACAGGTGACAGCCTAACTGACTATGCCATATCCCAGTTCCCATACATTTACTTTTAAAATAAATTTAAATAGATTATCCTAATTCATGCTTAAAACTACAAAATTTTTACTTAATCCTGTTGATGTTATACTTGTTACTTTTTCCAATAATAAAAATTAAATTTGCAGTGATACCAAGATCAATTTCTCAGAATAACCACTAAACACATCTAAAAAGTTGAGTCCTTAAAACAGGTTACAATTCTAGAGAGCAGTTAGTTTAAGTGAGTTTGTGTGTTAAGTTATATTGTGCTGAAGATGTTCAGCAGTGGGCCCAGCACAATGGCTCAGTGGCTAACTCCTTGCCTTACACATGCCAGGATACCATATTGGTGTTGGTTTGTTTCCTGGTTACTTCACTTCCCATTTGTTCTCTGCCTTTGGCCTTGGAAAGCAGTAAAGGATGGTCGAAAGCCTTGGGACATTAAGGAAGAAGCACCTGGCTCTTGGCTTTGGATTGGCTCAGCTCCAGCTGTTGTGTGCACTTGGGGAGTGAACCACAGGATGGAAGATATTTTTGACTCTCCTCTCTATAAATCTGCCTTTCCAATAAAAATAAACAAATATTTTTAAAAAGAATAATAAGTAAAAACCATCTTTAAGATGTTCAGTGGTAGTTCCTGAGTGGTGCTCCTAATCCAGGCTCACATGACTTTCAGTTTGGTTTCTGGGTTTAGGGATTATTAAATTTTGATTTACTGTAAGATATTTTTTCTTCTTTCACATCTAAGACTCTTAGATATGTATCTCATAGTTGGATCAAAATGTTTAATATATATTATGTGGCATCAAAGAACATTACATGTGTGCTGAAAGATGCCAAAGTGGGGATCAGGGGCAAAGAAGTCACTAAGTCAATAAGATGATGACTGACAGTCAAGGTCACTGGGTTATATGTGGTGGGCAAGGTCGCGGCCAAGGACAGAGCCCTGGGTGTGAACCAGGGCAGGGGTCA